CGGAACCAGACAAGTCATTTCAAAGCTTTTCACTATGATTAAAGGCAACTTGAGACTTGTGCCCAGTAATTAATCCAGGCTGCTCTGGGGGAGGGAAGGTGCCTTTTCCAGGCTTTTCCTGCTGGATTCAGCCAGGTTTGGGTGGGAATTGCTGGGAATGGGCTGAGGTTTGTCTTGGGACTCTGTGCCTGAGAACAGCAAGTGATGTGTGAGCTGTTGCAGTACTGACAGAGGCACAGAATGGCCTAAATCCTCTTGTTCTTTGGAGTGAGGAGAAAAAAGCAGCTATGGCAGCAAGGAAAACCTTCAGAGGGATGGAGGAGATGAATTTTTAACCAGCCAGGCTGAATTGTTGGGGATTTAAGGTGGTGTTGGCAGCACAGCATCCGTTCTGTGCTCCTCCCTGTGCAGCTGCAGGGGAAACCAAACACACTAAATCCCTTCTCTTGAGGTGGTTTTTTTCATGTTCCTTCCTCTACCACTTGCTCTGATTCTCCAAGTCTCCTCCTGCATTGGTTAACTTGTCAAACTCCTCCTCCTTCCCAAGCTTAACTGCTCATGGAATATGTCTTTAGTAGCACTGAGGCAATAGAAGCTGAGAGAATCCTCCTGGTTAGGAGGGGAATAAAGTTTTCCTGCCAGGTTTTAAATCTGTATCTTCTTAAATATCCTTAGCAATATGCTCCTGAGAGTTTTTATGGTTAAAGTGGAGTGATTGGAATGTTCTAGCTGTAGGATGAAAGTAGTTGAGGATGGGAGTTGTGAGGGACAGATGAAATGAAGCTGCAGCAGCACTGATGGCAATCAGGAAAGCTTTAATGTCTTAATGTAGCTTCAGCATTCTGCACATTTAGAAGTCTAGATTGAATCCTGGAGGGAAAACAGCTATTCCCAACCTTCAGTCTTACTCCTGTTTTTCTCTGAGTGATGGATAGGCAGAAACTCTGATTTGAAGGAGACGCTAAGAGTTATTTTGCTGATGGTAGAGCTGTATCAGCTTGGTGGTGCTGAACCTCACCTGGATCACTGCTGGGAGTGTTGGATTCAGTTTGGAGGTGCTGAACCTCACCTGGATCACTGCTGGGAGTGTTGGATCCAGCTTGGAGGTGCTGAACCTCACCTGGATCACTGCTGGGAGTGTTGGATCCAGCTTGGAGGTGCTGAACCTCACCTGGATCACTGCTGAGAGTGTTGGGTCCAGTTTGGAGGTGCTGAACCTCACCTGGATCACTGCTGGGGTCATTGGACAGAGCCTGGAGCAACCTGGGCTAGTGGAAGGTGTCCCTGCCCATGGTGGGGGGTGGAAGATGAACTCTGAGGTCCTTCCAACCCATTCCATGATTCTGTGATCCTCTAACACCTTATTGAACATATGTTTCCTATTTATTGAGTCTTTCTTGCTGCCTCTCAGTTATATAACCAGTTTTTCCCATCCAAGCCCTTACAAATGTGACAGAATTCCTTCCCAAGTGGCTTCTTTGAGGGGAGTTTTCCTCTTGCCCAACTGGCAATGGCCCTGGCACAAACCCCTGCCCCTGTGCACAGCCCCAGTTGGCAATTAGGTCCTGACAATGGTTCTGCTGATGATCCTCTTTGTGCTGCACACACTCAGCAAGATCCATTGCAGCAGGAGGCAGGGACAAAGCCACCCCTGGCAGATCTGTGCCTGCAGCTCTGCTGAAAATGGCAATCAAAAGACTTTTCAAAGTAAACATGTGAAGTGGAAACGTTAGCACTTAGCATTCTGGGCATGGGCAACACTTCGCTTTTCTGCCTCATAAGCATTTCCAGGCTGTGCATTACAAGCTCTGACTGATAATGCAAAGAGAGAGTTGTGGCCTCATCATTTTCAGGGAAGGTGGAGCTGGAAACCTCCTAGAGAAACCCAGAATGGGTTGGGTGGGAAGGGAGCTTAAATGTTAGCCAGTTCCATGGCCTGGGACACCTTCGACCAGCCCAGAATGCTCCAAACAGTGATCAGCACCTTAAAGCTGTGTCCAACCACCCCAGCAGTGATCCAGGTGAGGTTCAGCACCTCAGAGGAGTATCCAGCACTCCCAGCAGTGATCCAGGTGGAGATACTGCAGATTATTGCTAATAACCCATTTCTCCCGTGGTGTGATGAGTTCCATCTGTCGAGTGATTTTAAGTGTCTTCATCTTAGCAGCTCCTTTGCCTGGAGCAATGATCTGTGGAGAGGATTAATGATCGTGTCACAGTCAGTCTCCACAGATCTTTCTTGATGTATTTCATTGAATTAATGACCTCATTGTGGGATAGACATAACTTGTCTCCAAACCTTCAGTCTGTTTGTATAGAGATGGATTGATAAGCTCTCTTGCCTTCCTGGTTCTTCTTGGAATCATAGGATAGTTTGGGAGGGAAGAGGCCTTAAAGATGATCTCATCCCACTCCCTGCCATGGGCAGGAACACCTCCCCACCAGCCCAGGTTGCTCCAAGCCCCATCCAACCTGGCCTGGAACACTCCCAGGGATGGAGCAGCCACAGCTGCTCTGGGAAATCCATTCCATTGTCTCAGCACCTCCCAGGGAACAATTCCTTCTCAATATCCCACCCAAATCTCCCTTTTTCCAGTGGGAAGCCATTCCCTGTGTCCTGTCGCCCCAGGCCTTGTCCCAAGTCCCTCTGCTGCTCTCTTGGAGCCCCTTTAGGCACTGGAAGGGGCACTGAGTTCTCTTCCTCAGTGAAGAGAACTTCATAACTGCCCTAAGAATCCTTTAGGTCTTTCCCAAGCCATCATGAGTCTATAAATAGTATTTTGCTGTGTGGAATAAACAGGAAATGAGGGGGAAAATTCCATGGGAGATTTGTCTGTAACTGAGCAAAACTTCTAGCTCTGGCGAGACTTGGAGTTTTGGTGCTTTATTAGCTGAGTTGTTTGGAGCTTTCCCTGTAAATGGAGTTGAATGTGTCTGCCATTCCCAATTCCTGCTTTTCCACTGGACTAAAGAGCTTAGAGGCTTCAAAGTAAATAGGTGGTTTATCACTATTGAGCAGAAATCCCTGGATTTAAGGGAGAAACACTTCTTTTTCCCTCCTGAGCACACCTGGAGCTGAGCAATTGGAGCATTCGGAGCCCTCAGAGCCTCAGCTCAGCTCTGAGGATTGTTTCATCCAAGGTATTTCAATGCAAAGGCTTTAAGTGTCCTTAAAAATGGACTTTAGGATGTGCTTTCTTCAGGACTTGACGACATCTAAGGGTTTTAAGCAGCTTAAAACACTTTGTGCTCTTTTGCTGGTGGAGCTGTGGAAGTTGAGCTTTTCCCACACGTGACACATCCTCCAGGGCTTTAATCCAAAGTAAATGTGACTCAGCTCATGGTTGAGGGAATTTTCTCATTTATCCAAAGTTGAACCAGGAAACATGAAGGGAAAAGTAGTTCCAGCAGCACTGGGGTAGCGTCTGGGAGATCGTGGCATGTCCCTGTCACCCAGGGAAAAGAGGAGTAATAGGAAAAGGTGAATAAAAGTACATGGGCAGCAGAATTCCTTCCATGTTCATCCCTCTGGCACTGGGAATTGGCATGGATGAGGCCTCAAGGAGCTGGGAGGTTTGTTGTGTAATTAATAATGATAGTAATTTGATTAGTTGAATAATTGTTGAATTCAGGCTGGGAAAATGCTGGATCAGCTCTTCCCAAACTGTCGTCCAGTGTCAGTCTAGGTCATTTCTTAATGTGGAGTCACCCTGGGCAGAGACAGATGGGATTTTGGGATTAAATCCTTCCCTGTCAAGGTACTGAGGCCCTAAAAGCTTTCAGATCCACCTGGGAATTGGGGTTACCTCTGGAATGTGCACTCCAGAGCGCAAAGGCTTTAGAGCTATGACTGGTTTAGTGCTGAGTGGGCTGGGAGGGTATGGGTTAGGGGTTCCAGCAATGACAGGTTAAGAGTTGAACTTGAGGAACTTAGAGGTCTCTTTTAACCTTGATGCTTCTCTGATTGTATGTTAGGGTGTTCAGGTGCTGGAATATTGCCCAGGGAGGTGGTGGAGTCACCATCCCTGGAGGTGTTTAAGAGGCATCTGGATCTGGAGGATATGGTTTAGGGTTTAGAGGTTCCAGCAGCGATAGGTCAATGGTTGAACTCGATGACCTGTGAGTTCTCCTCCAAGCTTGCTGACTCTCTGCTCCTCTGTTGCAGGTATGGTGTGAATATGCGTTGCTTGGCAGCTAGGGTCAACTACAAGACTCTGATCATCATCTGTGCCCTCTTCACCCTGGTGATGGTCCTGCTGTGGAACCGCTGCTCCTCCAGCACGTCACCCCGGAGCCTGGTGGGACCGGAACGTCGTGGAGCACCTGCTGCCGCCTCCGAGAGCGCCATGGCCAGGCAGCAGAGTGAGGAGGCATCACCTCAGGAGCAGCAGAAAGCTCCTCCACTCATGGGGAGCTCCAACAAGGCCTCTGGGCTGAAGTATGAGGAGATTGACTGTCTGATCAATGAGGAGCAGACGGTGAAAGGGAGGAGGGAAGGCACCGAGGTCTTCCTGCCATTCAGTTGGGTAGAGAAGTACTTTGAGGTTTATGGGAGGATTGCTCAGTATGATGGTTATGACAGGTTTGAATTCTCTCATAGCTACTCCAAAGTATACACACAGAGAGCTCCATACCACCCCGACGGGGTCTTCATGTCCTTCGAGGGCTACAACGTTGAAGTGCGCGACAGAGTCAAGTGCATCAGTGGAGTAGAAGGTAGGTCTTGGCTTTTGGGGCCTCTTTGGGTGTTGTAATGCTTCTTGGAAGGCTTTGGGCTGGTAAGAGGATTGGAGAACATGTGAGCTGTGCCAGGGTTAAACTGGCTCAGAAACCAACTGTGCCCTGTGCTGTCCCAAGGAGTGTGGTTGCAGGGCCAAGGAGGGGATTCTCCCTCTCTGCTCTGATCCCACCTGGAGTTCTCCACACAGCTCTGGTGTCCCCAGCATGAAAAGGACATGGAACTGCTGGAACAAGTCCAGAGGAGACCACAAAGCTGATCAGAGCACTGGAGCATCTTCCCTAAGAGAGAGTTCAGGCTGTTCAGACTGGAGAAGAAAAGGTTGTGTGGAGATCTCAGAGCAACCTGCCAGGAGCTGAAGGGGCTCCAGGGAAGCTGCAGAGGGACTTGGCTAGGAACTGCAGTGACAAGACAAAGAGCAATGGGGAGAAATTGAAAAAGGGAAATTTTGGGGTTGGTTTAGGTTGAAAGGACCTTAAAACCCATCCAGTCCCACCCCTGCTATGGGCAGGGACACCTTCCACCAGCCCAGGTTGCTCTAAGCCCCATCCAACCTGGCCTGGAACACTCCCA